CCCCGGCGAGGTGAATACGTTTTTACGACTACCTCGTGCGTTCGTAACGAAATGTTTGCCACATATCGCTGCAATTATATGTAAATTTTTAAATTGATTGTAGATATTTCAATGTATCTGATTACTTTATTTAAAAAGTGCTTTGTTTACAAACTTAAACGTCAATAATGCAATAATCTTTTTTTAAGCTGTCACTGAAAATTCAGATTTCTATGGCAAAAATGTATTTGTGTGTCTCCGATCAAATTGTTTATAATTACTCTTCTCCATCCAAAGGATGTCTGGAAGACATCGCTCTTAGCGCTAATCCCGCCCATTATTTTCTCAGTGTAATATTTTCTTGTAATTGTTTGTATTTATAACGGGTTTACTATTGTAATCTTATGGAGGGAACAATAAAGAGTTGCATAAAGATTGAAGGGTAGGATATGGAGTGAATTTACTAGGTACAGAGGAATAACACCTGAGTTCTCAGGAATGGCAACGCATGGGGGGTATCATGGGCGAATCAGTACACTTATGTTGTTATGTTGTTGTTATGTCCATGGTACTGCTCATGTCTATAGGCGTCGGTTACCACTTTCCATCAAGTGGGCCGTCAGCTTGTTTGCCATTCTAAGTTGTATAAAAAAAAAGTATCTGTGTATCTATCTATTTTGAAAATATTGTTTTTTTTTTTAAAAGTTATGAAAACTCTAAATAAATTTTAGAGCAGCGGAATTAGCTTCTCAATAGTGCATATTATTATAGGGTTACATGAATGTTCTGATATATTCGTCATGTCTATGCTTTACTGCTAGAATGTTATTATCAGATTACTTCTTTATTGATCGAATGGTTGCCCTTTCAATACATCATATATTAATAAAAATTTGGTCATAAAATTGATAGTAATCAATCAAAGAGAACGAAAGTATTATAATTATTTGTTTGCTTTTTATACTACAAAGGTGGTAAACAAGCATACAGCTCGTAACTGTAGCTTATCGACATCTGCAACACTAGGGATGTCATGTGCTCGTTGTCGATCCTGAAGAAACCTTAATACCTATACCCTTTTTGAACAATCCCACACTGTAGACTCTAGGGAATACCTCGGCAGGGAACTCATCCCACAACCATGCTAACGTTGACTGACATTTCAAATAGACACTAGACGAGTGCTACTCACGACACAGCTGTGAACCGCGCTCATGAATGATGGCTCATATTGAGTTCGAAATAAGTTGGGCATCCTCGAAGTTCAAATGTGAGTAAAGGCGACATAATTACAATACAGTGTAACTCATGATAGTTATTATTTAGCAAGGATAAAATTCATCTGCTTAGGTATCTCTAACCCTCTGTCACAGGGGGGAAAAGAATTGCTAGTATTTGGGTCAAATAACCCCATTACTAGCAATATACCCTGTCAGGTCGACCTACACGTGGTTCCCATTGGAAACAATTGTGGCTAATTCTAATTGGATTCGTCAAGATGGGTCAACTGATCTGCTTTCTTCCTCATCAGTCATGTATCACTGGTGCCCCGCCAGTGTATACCGATAGCGCAGACGGGGTTACCATAACATTATCATCCATTAAAAAAATCCCTCTGTCACATGTTACTGCTGTCTAGCATGTTTGAATCTAAAGAGTGAGATAAATACATAAATAATATAGAAGAATGATAGAATAGCAATGAAATTATAAAGAAGTTAAACTTCTTATGGCTCTGGAATGATAATCTATCGAAACCACGGTATATTTTGTGATATCCAGTTAGTTCCATATAGAGTGGCGACCCCGTACAGGAAAACTCAGTGTAGGACGACCCTCCTCTAGGTGGAGTGAAGACCTCAAATGCATTACAGTGGATGTAGGTGGCTCAGACCGTTTCTTATGGCAGTCTATGGGGGAGGCCTATGTCCAGCAGTGGACGGACAATGGCCGAGATGACGATGATGATAGTTCCGCAAAAAGTCGGAAAATATTGATCACAGTATTTACCGAGTTTATCAAAACTCAACATGGGAAGGTCACAAGATTACATATTCAGGTCAATTGAAAAATTTCTTGAATTGAAGTCTCTTAAAAATATACTGTACAATGTATATCTATTGTCTTTCTGGTGTACATTTTAAGCTTAATACCCGCATTATGAAACGACGCTTTCACTGCCTGTTATATTACAGCCATAACAATGGTTGTGGGTTATTGTGCCCACATGGGACTATAGTGGAATTGTGTACCTTCACGTATCTACATGGAATTGTATAGGTAGCTGCTCAGTATAAAAGAATTATAAGTATGTAATTCCTGCAAGTATGGATGGAATAATAGTGCAAATTGTTGTAGAATTTGTAAGAGAAATAAACTGAGTCCGGAGTCCTCAGGAATGGCAACGCATAGGGGTATCATGGGTGAAGCAGTATACTCTGTTATGTACATGGTACTGCTCATGTTTATAGGCGACGGTTACTACTTTCCATCAGGCGGGCTGTCAGATTGTTTGCCATTCATGTTGCATAAAAAAGAGACTAAGCACCTGTTATTTAGTTTAAGAGACCTGTAGTGAAGATAGTTACATAGAACTATCTTTTGTAAAAAAATATGAAATTACCTACCTACCAATCGGGTTGCATACATTGTCAACGATTGTTTGTGGACGGTGGCGCGCGGCGCGCGGTCACGTCCTGTCTTGAGAGCGGGCGGTTTTTGCAGCGCGGCGGACGCAGCGCGAGCCTTCCCGAGGTTTCCTTGGAAATGAACTAATTATCGACACATAGTTAATTATACCGGTGCCGCCCTAACTAACAGTGGACATTATGTTCTTGATTGAATTCCGCGCTACTAAAGTCTCTTACTTGAGGAAAATATGAACAAATCAATAATAGATGCGGCCATAATACAGTCTGATGTCCGATACCACAGATAATATAATACTCCGATAATAATAAAAAAAAAAAATATTGGTAAGCGTAGATACATCTTTTTTTTTTTATACAACTTAGAATGGCAAACAAACTGACGGCCCACCTGATGGAAACGGGAGAAGTTACTTCATTTTTAAGCTTCCGTTGCGTATGCAGCCTTAATGGGCACTTTTTATAATGTAAAAATGTCCACCCGCGCGAAGCCGAGACGGGCCGCTAGTTACTAATACTTTCATTTCTCACTAATAAAAGCGATTAATGAATTCCAGAAAACGAACGGATTTTGGAGAAGGTTTTCCTTATAAAACGGCGTATTATTTATAAACATTCCGGTTATGAGATATTGTAAAGGTTTTTGTTTCGATCATTCCTTCTTCTACGTTATTCTGGGAAATGGAAATGTGTAATCAGACTTGAAAAGAAATGATATATAAAGTCCTATTTTGGAAAATAAATATAATTCATGTGTTGCCATTCCTGAGGACTCAGGTGTTATGCCTGTAAATTCACTGCCATATCCCACCCTTCAAACCGAAACACAGCCAAGCAAACACAACTGCTTTACGGTTGAAACAGGAATGCGACAGAGGTGCCCATGCAAACGACTTTTGTACAAAGTTTCCCTCTGGTAAATGGTTATTTTATTGTATTTAATTGTAACTAGGTATTATTAAGTATTATTTTTTGCTGTACAGTTTTTATGTTACTAACGAATTGGGTCATTGTAGCCTGTAATAATAAAGACTTTGTACAAAAGTCGATTGCTTGGGTACCTCTGTTCCATTCGTATTTCAACCGTGAAGCAGTTGTGTTTGCATGGCTGTGTTTCGGTTTGAAGGGTGGGATATGGCGTGAATTTACTGGGTACAGAGGAATAAAACCTGAGGAATGGCAACGCATGGGTGGTATCATGGGCGAAACAGTATACTCTGTTATGTCCATGGTACTGCTCATGTGTATAGGCGACGGTTACCACTTTCCATCAGGTGGGCCGTCAGCTTGTTTGCCATTCTAAGTTATATAAAAAAAAAGATTATTAATACAATTAATATAATGAATAAAAATTGTTTGCATAGGTATTACAATATCTTCCATAATATGATCTGAGTAAGGCTTCGCAGGCGCGTTGACCACGATGCACGGTGCCCGACCCACCGTCAGTTCGCTCGCCCCCCATGGCGCGACGGGCGGCAGGATTTGGGCGACGCGGGGACTGCGGCGATAGAGGCGGCATTATATTGAACTAGTTTTTTTGCTCGCTACCACACGGTCTCATTCATCGTTTCAGCCATTATCCAGCCACTGCTGGACGTAGGCGTCCCCCATAGACTACCATAAAGAATCGTCCTAAGCCACCTACATCCTCTGTTTCCTATATTACATTACAACAACTACTACATTAAATTACAACGAATTACATCGTTTTAGATCGTCACTTCATCTAGTGGGGGGTCGTCCTACACTGCGTTTGCCCGTACGGGGTAGCCACTCAAGAACCTTTCTTCGTAAGAACTGACACGGTCTTTTCGGTTATTTCCTAGTGAATTTATAATGATAGGCTAACAGACCTGCTTTTATTCTCACCTATTGATTGGGGGGAAAGGGATTGTTAGTAATGGGATCTAACTGCCCCATTGCTAGCAATACACCCTATCAGGTCGACCTCCACGCGGTTCCCCCTGGAGACCATCATGATTAATTCTAGTGGAATTCATCATGACGGGCTAATTGACCTGCTTTCATGAACGTCTATCATCCCTCATTGGTGCACTGCCAGCGTATACTGGTAGCACAGGCGGGGTTACTATTCTATTTTCAATCATAAAAATAAAACCTACTTTCACTCTGATATTTCTGACAATAATTCAAATGGGGTGACCTATCACAACAGTACTATTATCACACCGTAGTGCGAATGGCTCGTACAAAACTGTGTGATTCACACCGTGGTCAGAACAGTCCGTCTCAATACCAGTTCAAGATGCCACCTCTAAAATAAACGTTAAAGTTGTCAAATACACACACCATAGATGTATTGTGTGGAGCTTCCTCGCAGGTTGTCAGTGTAGCGTGAAGCGCCGCCGGGGCCGCCAGCCGCCGCCTGTCATGTCGCCCGCGCCGCTCGTCGCTCCGCTTGTGGCGCTGCTCGCCGTCGCGTGCGCGCGCGCAGGTCCTTTGTCGCGCCATGCAAATCCGCCGGTCGACGACCCCAGTGATATATGCGAAGGATAATATTTCTGCACGCCATTGATTTCATTGCCTTTTTGGTCTTGGATTTTCGGGTTTCGATTTTAAATTAATGTTTCCGAGGTCTGGAGGTTGCAAAGAATTGTTTTAGTTTTTTTTTTGGTGTAGGTAGATGACGAAATTATATGTGATTAAACTGAACTAAATATTAATGTAGTTTACATTAGGAAAGATAAGCATATTATGGGATATAAAAATTATGTAAATATGACAGAAATAAATGTTTATACAATTATTAGAGTGTGAAAAAGTGACAATAATATTTATTTATTCATATTTTAAAATATTTAAAAATATTCCTTATTTATTATTTATATTAATTATTAACATAGCGTTGATTTTAAAGGATGTAATATGTTTTTTTCTTCCATTTATCTATTAATTGTTTTTTATCAGTCTGCTAGGTATTGAAAGCTCTGTTCTCTTATTTATATATCCCACGATTATATTTCCTGATATTATTTACAATTTTGTTAAAAAAAATGTCGTAATAGTTTTTTTTTGTCAGACTAACATATATAATATATATATTCTTGAATAATAATATCTCTATATTTTTACAATATATATATTTATTTTTATATTGTATGTACACTTTTGGACCGAAGTCATCTCTGTCTTCTATTTAATATTATTTTTTATTCTCTTTATAATACTATAATATTTTTAAGAGGAGTTTCTACTTTATTGCTTGTTTGTAATGGATAAATTCAAAAACTACTCAACTCTTCTTTCATCTATAGAAAGCTACAATACATTATTATATTTTCAGATATCTAAAAATTTTATAACTTTGTATTTTATGTATTTGTGCAGGTGTTTATATGCACGTATCTACGTTTGTGTGTATGTATGTATATACCTATATATTATAATAATGAGTAGGGATATATATTTATATTCATATTTAAAACTGATAGAATATTCATCGTACCTCCAATCAAACTGTTTATAATTACTCCTCTCCATCCAAAGGTTGCCTGGAAGAGATCACTTTTAACGATAAGGTCGCCCATTGTTTTCTCACTGTGATTATTTCTTGTAATCGTTTGTATCTATAATAATTTTACTATTGTAATCTTTTGTAGCAAACAATGAAGAGTATCTATCTATCTATCTATAGGCTATGTATATATTATTTAAAAAAATAGAGATATCTAAAAAAATTACAATAATGTAAACCACACTATCAAAAATATGCTTATTAAAGCTATTTCTTTTTATACTTTATTATACATAAAAATTACATAGTTAAAGTCTATAATCAATGAAGATGTACAACAGGCGAGCTTAACTCTGTAAGAGTTCTCTTCCAGCAAACCCTGAGTGGAAAGGAGCACTAATTAAACTATTATTTTAAATACTATTTTATCTCCATATCTCTTTACTCGTATGAAACTGGGGCGGATCTCTAGCATAATATACCTAATATTATGATACACATTTTCTTTAAGGATATAGTAGATTTTATATGAGCATATGATGGGAACCTTACCATAATCTGAACTAATAATTTAACTTTCTGCTCTTTGACAATTGAAATCTTTTATGTAATTTATTTATATGAATTTCTTGGTGATAGAAAAGAGTGCAAATTTTCAAAATTTTTAATACCAATTTAATGTACATAATAATTTTGGTAAAAAATTAACATAAATTAATACAGAAAGCGGTTTTATCGCCAAGCAATCGTTTTGGGACTGCTTTTGGGTATAGGACGTTAAAAAAAGATATATCAGCCTCGTTCTATTCAATTCAATTCAATTCAATTTATTTTATTCGTTACAATATTGCATTGTGTTGAATATTTTTGCAAGTGACAAGAAGATATCGTAAAATATAACAAAAAAAAAAAAAAAAAAATATGAAGCAACAAAATAACCAATAATAATTGTCAAAAAATAACATTACAATCAATTTAAAAGTCATCAGTAAGGCATAAAATAATGAAAGAATATTTTAAAATTAATCAATTGAGTAGATGCACCTTTACAACACACGCACGATTTTAGCACGATAAGAACCTATTGGTTCTTATCGTGCTAAATTCTTATTGTAATTATTATAACGATTAAATAATTAGTTTACGTAAAATAACGTTTTATGATTGACATCTTAGGGTTTAGTTTCATTTTAAAACAATTAAAAAATTAAGTACACCATGAAGAGTGAAAGAAATTATTTCGGTCGGGTACAATTTAGTAAGTACGGTTTCTATTACGTGCAATTTTTTTATTAATAATCAAATTTTAAACACGAATTTAATATAAATTTCGTTACGATCCGTTTGAAGTTTTATTTGAAATAATTGTTGAGTTATCATGTGTCTATTCAATTCAAAGAATTGATTTATCTGAACATGGATACAAAATTCGTGTTTCTACCGTGAAACAGTTGTGTTTGCATGGCTGTGTTTCGGTTTGAAGGGTGGGATATGGCGTGAATTTACTGGGTACAGAGGAATAACACCCGAGTCTTCAGGAATAGCGACGCATGGGGAATATCATGGGCGAAAACGGCCGGACATGTTGGTACGTTTTATATTCGTTTGTTTAAAGATAATTTTTTTTTATACAACTTAGAATGGCAAACAAGCTGCCGGCCTACCTGATGGAAAGTGGTAACCGTCGCCTATAGACATGAGCAGTACCATGGACATAACAGAGTATACTGTTTCACCCATGATACCCCCCATGCGTTGCCATTCCTGAGGACTCAGGTGTTATTCCTCTGTACCCTGTAAATTCACTGTCATGTCCCACTTATCAAACCGAAACAAGCTTTGATGAAAACACAGCTGCTTCACGGTTGAAACACGAATAGGACAGGGGTACCCAAGCAATCGACTTTTGTAAATTTTACCCAAGCAAAAATTTTATATCCTTATAAAAAGTTTAGTCTCATAATATGAATAGTGATATTTAAATCGATACAGGACGGTTGAAAATATCGCTTACAAAGCATTACTTTAACAACGTTACCTATTAGTAAAGGTGAAATACGGATAAAATGGAGAATTGAGAAAGGAGAACTTTCTGTTGGTTATTGGAAGAAAAAATCCACATTATGAAAATGTACGATGTGCAGTGGTTAGCCAGTGAAGTAGAGTCGTCTCGCGAAAGAGTTCAACGCGCCAAACAACTAGTACTTGACCTCCCCACGCTTTTTATGTTAATATTCACACAAAACGACGTCAAATCTTACTACAAACGAAGACAAATATACGTACGTACTCGTATATGTTCACGTTACTAATATTACGGGTTAGACAGAGTGAAGCCAGTGGCATAGGCTTTATGGCACGGTAATCAAGATTATTTATTTATCATATTAGACACATATTTATAAAAAATTTGACTAGATTTACATAACACCTTTACTTTTTTTTATTCAACTTAGAATGGCGAACAAGCTGACGGCCCAACTGATGGAAAGTGGTAACCGTCGCCTATAGACATGAGCAGTACCATGGACATAACAGAGATATACTGTTTCGCCCATGATACCCCCCATACGTTGCTATTCCTGAGGACTCAGGTGTTATTCCTCTGTACCCAGTAAATTCACGCCATATCCCACCCTTCAAACCGAAACACAGCCATGCAAACACAACTGCTTCACGGAAGAAACACGAATGGGGCAGAGGTACCCAAGCAATCGACTTTTGTACAAAGTTGAAGCCTTTTCCCTTCATCATTGCTTGGGCACAGTATCTTGGAAACTGTACCACTAATAATAAGAAGTCAGTCAGGTCCGTTAAAGCTTCTATGCATGCTGTGAAGTGAATGATAAGGATGTAAAACCAAGCGGCGATACCGGCTATCCAAAATCCCACAAATATCAGGATAATTAGCAACGTTGCCCATTTTCGTATTTCCGACGGAGCGCACGTTATCAACACTGAATCCTATCTATCTTTATATGAATGTTTAAGGATGCAAATGTGTATTGTTTCATTCACTTTTCATAACTGGTCTCATACATACACGCCTGTTTACGATATGAATAAGTGGAGGTATTTGATTTATTTTTTTTAACGTATATTACGTGATGTTTTTGTTAATTTTAAACCAATTTTAATGATTAAAATTTAGTTTAAATAAATTTTTAATTTTAAACCGATTTAATGATCTAATTTACGAGTACATGAAATGGTGATCATATACAAATTTTGTAAATATCGATGTAATTTTTAGGCAACTTTTAAAAGAAGACTCGCGATAAAAAAAAAAAAAAACTACGAGATATCATCGTTAGATTTCAACCGATTTTGCTAATTCTTTTTGCAGTATAGGGATATGGGTGGTCAACTACCGAGTTCATCGCGTAATTATCTATTAAATGTTTTTAGCTATAGTTACTATTCTTTTTGCAAAGCAATATCCTGCTTGTCGAGAAGAAAAAATCACTCGTAAACACACGATTCCGTGTTCAAAATCTAAAATGTTTATGAATATTTCATGAAATATCGTCCGTCGGTTAACGCAATGATTACTTGTACAGTGCATTTCGTCATAGTCATATATATATATATATGTAATATTTGTCAGATCCGTCAGTATTCTACGACTATGACGATTTGTGCATTTTAGTCGAATTGTAATTAAAGGTCCTACAAAAAAAAAAACTAATTTACTTGTTACAAAACCAGTTATTTTGAACTAAAAACTAAACTACTTAACTAATTTTGTTAATAAAATTTCTATAAAACCAAACCTTTTAGATAAAAAAAGAATTGTCCAAATCGGTTAACAATTGACTGAGTTAAAGAGGTAATAAAAAAATATAGTCGAATTGAGAACCTCCATTCATTGAAGTCGGTTGAAAATAGAAATAGAAAAACACTCCTGATCATCAATTTGTTAGAATTTATTAATTATTTGATTTTTTTACGAAATAAGCCTTTCATTTTCACGGAACAAG